TGCTGAACATGTAACCCCTAACCCTACTTTCATTGGGCTGAATGCACTGATAAATGTACTGACTAGTGTACCGCTAATCATGTGGGTGAGCGCACTGTGGTGTGATGAATGTGTTGATCAGCACTGACTCTGCCACAGGTCCAGCAGACAGGGAGCCCATGAAGGCGCAGGAAGCTCCGAGCAGCGACAGCACAGTGCAGGAGTTTGACGCGTTTCCTCCTCTCTGCCAGCGTTGGGACAAACACCTGCACACAGAGTGAAACCTCTACGTGAGTTTACACCTGCTGCACAACTTCAGTCTGATGTAAAACAGAACATGCGTTATCACTGTTCGTCGTGCAAAGTGAAGCAAACTAAAAACGGCAGGAAGTGAATCATGTGATTGAAACGCCACTTAGCATATTAATGTAGTTGTAATCTATGTGGCCACATAGATTTTCTTCACTAATGAAGAGACTTCCATTAGTGGGACTCATTGTCCAACCAGTCATTATGTACAGAAACTGAGACACCGGTGTAAGCTGCAGCTTCGTCGGGAGGTTTATCTGGATACACAAAGCTCCGTGAAAGATTTATCATTGTTTTATGTGGTTGTTTTTGTTTATACAGTGGTTTTAATAACTGAATGAGGACAGTAAACAGACTGTAGGTGAACGGGTTTCTACAGTTCAGGACAAACAGTCATTTTTATGATTCCTGACGTAATCCAGTAAAAATGAAGTTTGAAGACGGTAACAGTAAGTGATGAGATTTTACATTCGGTGAAAGATAATTCTGAGCTCTTATGCCACGATAGCTTTGCCATGTGTGCTAACCTGCTGTCAGTGTCTTCTTCGGGGTATTTGTCGACCACGTTAATAATGTCGAGACAAACCAGACCCACACACAGAATCTTCTGCTGCTCCTGCACGTCCATGTTCGGTCACTGCTTGTGTTTTCAGTCTGCAACAAAGACAAAGCCGCAGTCTGGACTTTGACACTCAAACACTGCGGTCAAGTCAGCCATTGATGCAAGAACGCAGTCAGGTCAGACGCCGTTACGATTTTGTTGCGCTACTTTTCGTGCTATTACGGTACGGGTGCTTGGAGCGGCCAAAAAGACTTTTGAGTATTTACCTTACAGTCAGTGGGATTTGCTGAACAAAGTGAGATGTAATGAATGTGACATTGCATACACCGAATAAAACTGCGTTATTTCACGTTCTTATGTGAATTTTAAACAGAAAATAACTCCTTAGTTATTGTCATAAAAATATTGGCCTACCCTAAAGGTTTGCTCAACCTGAGTCCCGTTGAGAATAACAATGAACATACAAATCTGAAGTAATTTTAGTGTACAGTTTTAATGACAATTAAAGGGAAATTCACTACAAAATTCATAGGAACAAAAATTGCTTCCTATAAAAACGTCAGGATAATTCTGCTGGTATTTTGTGCAAACCTGTCATGGAAATTGTATTATTATTGTTGTTATTATTACTTTATCATAAAAAGAAAGGGAAGTTCTGATCACAAATACAATGGATGAATTAATCTAAGATTGGTTTACATTTTATGAGACAAATTTCAAATCAAGCAGGAGTCTGGAATTTTCAAGAAATGTAAGTACACTGATGTTAGGATGTGGAATAGTACTGTTTCATTCACTATGTGAAATTATAGAATTAACTGTAGTCCTCCTGTAGTTTATTGTGTCTTTCTTGCCCTGAGTGGCTCAGGCTGGATGCACCAGCAGAAAACCACAAGAAACCTCAGACTGGATCTTAGCTGGATTAGAAATGGACAGGGAACTGCCTGAGAGGAAGTCATAGAGAACTCTGCAAATGTAAGGGGACTGTGGACAAATATAGAGATAATATTTATACTTTAGACTGTGTACTCTGGGCATCACCAGCTTGGATGGAGGAAAGGAGAGGATAGGATAGGATAGGATCATGGGCCCCCAGCAGCCTAGGCCTATAGCAGCATAACTAAGGGAAGGCTCAGGGTCACCTGATCCAGCCCTGATTATAAGCTTTATCAAAAAGGAACGTCTTAAGTCTAATCTTAAAGGTAGAGAGGGTGTCCGCCTCCTGAACTGAGACTGGGAGTTGGTTCCATAGGAGAGGAGCTTGATAGCTAAAGGCTCTGCCTCCCATTCTGCTTCTGTGGACTCTAGGAACCACAAGTAAACCTGCACTCTGAGAGCGAAGTGCTCTGTTAGGATGATAAGGCTCTACGAGGTCTTTAAGATACGATGGAGCCTTGTCATTAAGGGCTTTGTATGTTAGGAGAAGGATTTTAAATTCTATTCTGAATTTTACAGGGAGCCAGTGGAGAGAAGCTAACATGGGAGAGATATGATCTCTCTTACTAGTTCCTGTCAGTACTCTGACTGCAGCATTTTGGATTAACTGGAGGCTTTTTAGGGAATTATTGGGACATCCTGATAGTAAAGAGTTACAGTAGTCCAGCCTGGAAGTAACAAATGCATGGACCAGTTTTTCAGCATCACTTTGAGACAGGATGCTCCTGATTTTGGCGATACTGAGCAGGTGAAAGAAGGCAGATCTAGAGACTTGGTTTTTTGTGTGATTTAAAGGACATATCCTGATCAAAGATGACTCCAAGGTTCCTCACAGTAGTACTGGAGGCCAGAGCCATGTCATCTAGAGTAACTATATGGTTAGACAGTAGGTTTCTAAAGTTTTCAGGCCCAAGTTTTGAAGTAAAAAATTGTCCTGCTCCTGTCATATCAACAAGAGAGATTAGTTTTCACCCTGGTAAAACATTAAATATGGCTGTTGGATTGTGATCTATGGATTGTTATAGTCATCCTGGAAGATACTGCTCATTTATGAGTCTATGTGTCAGTTATACACTGTGTAGGTTGTACACACTGTAAGTATACACAATTTTTGGTGTTTTGCATGAAAGATGATGTAAATGATTACTGCAGTAGTTGCCAATTAGTTTTCTGTCAGTTGAATGTAATCACTTCTACTTCTATTTACTGCTGAGTAGTTTAATTTAGAACAAAGTATCGTAATTGAAAAGCACCTCGTATATTATGTATGTAAATATCATAGTCTTAAAGTAGTAACTGTAACAGGTAAAGATAAAAAGTGCATTTGTCTCTGGAATCCAGGAGAAGTGGAAAGTTGTATGAGAACAAAGGAGTCCAGGAAAGAACAAGTACCCCAGTGCAGTACCTGAGTAACTACAAGGGAACAGTAATGTATGATAATGACCTCAGTGGGTTGGGTTGTAGCTTTCAGGCTGAGGGGCAGATCGTGCAGATCAAACCCTCAGGGGAGAGTCCCAAATGTCATTTTGCGAGTCTCCCCTGACACAGGAGAATCTTTGAGCTGTAGATTCAGAGCTCCTGCTCGGTCTGCGTGTCCACAACAATTACACTGATCCAGTCAGAGCCTTAACTCCTCACAACTGTGAGCAGGCAGTCAGGCAGAGACGCCTCCTCCTCCTCTTCCTCACACTCTAGCACTCCTCCAGACCTGCTTCTGTCTCTACTGCCTCTGGTTCTGGGTTGGGTTGGTTGTTATGAAGCTGCTTCACAGCGTGTCGGACTAACAGACCCCAGCGCTGGGCAAGGAGGGGAGGGGGCTGTGGCTGCTGGGGAAAAGTGTTGAGAGGAAAGAAAGACAGGAAGACTGGACTGTGAACCTGCTGGCACCAACAAACAACAAAGACTGTGCACTGGGAAGAATGGGAGCCACTTATGGAAAGAAGGTCAGTCCAGTTCTGTGACTGTTTGCCTGTAGAGGAGTGACTTTAAACATAGTCCAACAGTGTGGTTCTGCACGCGACCTGTTCTTTACCTCGGCTGTTTGTGCTTTTAACAAGAGCTCCGAGTTTTGGTTAGGGCTGAAATCATTAGTGGACTAGTTGACTGACAGAACACACTTCTTCTACATTCATTGTTCAAGTAATTTTTCCTGCAAGGTGACAAAGATACACTGAATCCAGCTTCTCAGACATGAATATCTGCTGCTTTGGTTTCTGTCAGTAAACTGGTTGTGGACTGATGGTCAGAAAGAACATCTGAAGACCGAAAAAAACGTAAAAAAAGATCAACTGCACTGGATTTCTAGGTCGAAGACGTTTCACCTCTCATCCAAGAGGCTTCATCAGTTTCTCACTAAAACTCACTAAATGAATCGCTGAGTGTGAACAAACATGTTGTGGGTTTCCTTCCTCACAAAACATGTGTAAAGATCATTTATTTAATTGAAATCCTGGATAGTTTTTACTGGTTGCAGTCTTCTGTCCTGCCTTGGTTGCCTTACACGTTCCCCCCCCAGTGAGACTCCACTGGCATCATGTGTGGCAGCATCTCTGACACTGACTTTCATCTAAGAAAAGTCTGGTCTGAACAAGAGAAACCACTGCAGCCTCACTCTCCTGTTTCACTGACTGCAGGTGGTTTTAGACCGACTGAAGTGAAGAAATGTCATGTTTTATGATATTTACTACGTGATTCTTTTGTTGCTGCTGTGATCAGTTCAGCTCAGCAGCTCCTCCAAACGTTTAGCTGAGGTGGACACAGGCACAAAACCATATGCATGTATCCATCATTCAGACTGAGCATTTTTAAAGCAGCTGCAGCTTCAGATCCAACTGTTTCCATACAAACAGTAGAAAAGTGACTATAATGACAAGTCATTTAAAATGGCTCTTTGAGCAGCTTGTACATGTTTTTCTGTTGTCATTTCTTCTCTGAGTAAAATTCCTCTGAACTGGAAACAAAGCTCAGAGGAATGTGATTCCCTCACAGTTTCAGGTTAACTGGAGAAAAGCTTGACAAATATTTGAGCTGTGGCTCAAATGACACACCTGGTGAAAAGGGCGTGTCAGGGTATGTTTGTCGCCATGGTGACCAACAGTTGATTCCAGAGGTGTATGGAAGGAGGTATCAGAGGTTATGTTCCTGTCAGTGGTGTAGTGTATTTTTAGTGGTAAGTTCCCATCCACAACAGCAGGTGGAGAGTCAGGGGCCAAACATGAACTGATGAGGAGGTGACACATCCACTTCCTCTGGCAGAGACCGAAGGAGCCATAAAGCCAGAGGGTCTAGTGAGACTCAAAACAAACTGACACCATGAATTGGTCCTTACTGCTCTTTGCTGTCCTGTCATTTGTCCTGAAGCTACGAGGTGGCATACGGATGCCTGGTTGTGATAAACTGTACAAACTGCAGCCTCCAGTCTGAAGCTAGCATTAGCTGGCTAACAGTAAACGTGTCAGTCCAGTGTCTGTGCAGATTCTCAGTCATCCAGGTCATAGTAAGCTGAAAACAAAACTTAGAAAAAAATCAACTGAGCTAGATTTCTAGGTCGAAGACGTTTCACCTCTCATCCAAGAGGCTTCATCACTTCTGACTGACTGGTGTTGAGCCGGAGATATTTATCCCCCTCGGTGGTGTTTCAGTCCTTTGAAGGCCAACAATGTCCCTTAGTTTCACCAAAGTACAAGTCGTTACACTCCTGACTACACTTAATTGCATACACCACATCACTCTGTTTGTGTCTGGGTGTTTTGTCCTTCAGGTGGACCAGTCTCTGCCGCAGGGTGTTCCCTGGTTTAAAGTTAACTGGGATATTGTGGTTGTAAAAGATCCTTTTTAACTTCTCTGATAAACCAGCCACATAAGGGATGACAGTGTTATCCCCTCTTGTTTCTGGTTTCTCCCTGTTGGTGTTGGGCCTCTTCCTTGCTTTGGTGAAGGCCCACTTAGGGTATCCACAAGCCCTAAGGGAGTTCTGGATGTGTAATTTCTCCTTCTTGGCCCCTTCTGCAGTTGTGGGCACTTCCTCTGCCCTGTGATTTAAAGTTCTGATGACTCCCAGTTTGTGTTGAAGTGGATCGTGTGAGTCAAAAAACAGGTATTGGTCTGTGTGTGTAGGTTTGCAGAACCAGTGGCTGGGAGCGGTGCCAGGGAAGGAAGCCAGGGCTTTCTCCTCAATTTCTTCCATGTGCAGATTGGTAACTATAGGAGACACTGGGGAGCCCATAGCACAGCCGTGTTGTTGCCTATAGAAGTGCCCTCTAAACTGGAAGT